CATAGGTGGGGCCAGATCTCACATTCCAAACGGCCTTGGCCCTGCCCTGTTCATGTGAACTTTGCTTTGGTTTCCTCATTGGTTTGACATGTTTATTCTGTCATGCTATTTTTCATTTGTTCAAAGTATCAGAAGCTGGTTTGAAATATCATCGGCTGGGTTGTTCCTTCTGAGTTGTTGGGGCTTTCTTCCTTGACTAAATTGAATAGACATGTCAAGGACAGCATTTCCGCGTATTGTCCATCCAGTACTGTGTAAGAAAAAAACCACTCATGTGTAAGAGAAATACAGACCAGGGGCCCATCCACGCCAATTTCTCCCTGAAAGAGTTTGAGATAAGGCACAGTCAGGACTCTGCAGGTCTCAGGAGTGGGCAAACAGTGCCCTTCCTCATCACCGTCCCTGCCTGAATCTGGAGCTTTTGAGAGTACTTTTAGTGGGTTAAGTGGGATTCTGAGGAAAACCACTATGAGTCCCTAAGTCTACCTGTTTGCCTCCCATTGGGTCATCTATCCTCTTATGTCCCCCTCCTCAAGGTTCCTTGGTCCTTGTCTTCCTCCCCACTGATGAGCAGACACAGATATCAGCGTTCCCTTCAGCATCATTTAAGATACTCCTCTTCCAGGCAGGCCTCCGCCCACTTCTCTTTGTTTCTCACTTCTTCTTGGGGTCCAAGGTTTTGGATCCAAAGGGACTCAGGCTGGGACTCCTTCCTTGAATCCAGTGAAGTCCCATCCACCATAGGCATCCCTCCAGAATGCTACCTTGCCTTGTGCTTCCACTCCCAAGCTCCCAAGCCAGCACCCTAAGGCCAGGAGACCTGAAGCCTCTTGAACCCTACATTCAGTCAGTTTGCTTAGCTTCACAGCACGCCTCACTCATGGCATTGATTCCATCTCAGTTCAAAATTCTCTGTCAGCATCTCGCTTTACTTATTTATTTATTTGTATTTAATTTTATTTATTTTAAAAATTTATTTTATTTATTTGAAAGAGTTACAGAGAAAAGTGGAGACAGAGAGAGAAGTCTTCCATCTGCTGGTTCACTCCCCAGATGGCCACAACGGCCGGAGCTGCGCCGATCTGAAGCCAGGAGCCAGGAGCCAGGAGCTTCTTCTGGTCTCCCACGTGGGTGCTGGGGCCCAAGGATTTGGGACGTCTTCTATTGCTTTCCCAGGCCATAGCAGAGAGCTGGGTCGGAAGAGGAGCAGCCAGGACTAGAACTGGTGCCCACATGGGATGCTGGCACTTCAGTTCAGGGCTTTAATCCACTGCACCACAGTGCCAGCCCCATAATTATTTATTTTATCCTATAAAACCTTTAAAATGGTTGAGGTTTGACTGAAACTTCTGTGTTCAATACATTTCTACATTATACCATGTTTTTGCAATTTTTCTCCTTTTTCATTCCCCACCTCTTCTTCCTCTCCTTAGTCAATGATTTCCTGGTGAAAAGCCTTTTCCTAACACAACAAATGAGGGTGCTGACCATGGTCACGTTCATCCCCAAGCCCAAGCTGGGGTGGGGCTGGCATTGTGGTGCAGTGGGTTAAACTGACACCTGTGATACCAGCATCCCATGTCCAAGTGCTGGTTCAAGTCCCAACTTCTCCACTTCTGATCCACCTCCCAGATAACTGGCTGGGAAAGCAGCAGAAGACAGGCCAAGTACTTTGGCCTCTGCCACCCACCTGGGAGACCTGGATCAAATTCTGGGCTACGGGCTTCAGACTGGCCCAATTCCAGCCATTGTGGCCATTTGGAGAGTGAGACAGCAGATGCAGACAGAATATAGCTCCCTTTCTCTCTGTTACTCTGCCTTTCAAATAAATAAAAGAAATCCTTTAAAAAAAAAAAAGTCCAACTAGGGACTTAGGTAAGCTGCTTGTGAATACAATAATTAAGTGACTTGTTCCCTGTCAAATAGTGATTGGCAGGCTACCATATGAAGTTGTCTGACACCTACAAAGTAGGACTGAGGTGAGGTTTTGGTACAGTAGTTGAGATGCCAGTTTGGACACCTGCATCAGAGTGCTTGGGTTTGAGTTCTGGCTGTGCTCCCAATTCCAGCTTCCTACCAGTGCGGACCCTGGGAGGCAGCAGGTGATGGCTCAAGTAGTTGAGTCCCTGCTTCCCACATAGGAGGCCTAGATTGGGTTCCTGGCTCCCAGCTTTGACCTGGTCCAGTCCTGGCCATTAAGGTTATTTGGGGAGTGAATGAAAGGATGATGCTCTCTCTGTCTCTCCAATAAGTAATGAACGAAAAGTTGCAGCATACCCAGATGGATAAAGACATGGAGGAGAGAGGTCAGAAGTACCTTGAGGGGCCGGCGCCGTGGCTCACTTGGTTAATCCTCCACCTGAAGCACTGGCATCCCATGTGGGTGCTGGGTTCTAGTCCTGGTTGCTCCTCTTCCAGTCTGGCTCTCTGCTGCGGCCCAGGAGGGCAGTGGAGGATGGCCCAAGTGCTTGGCCCATGCACCTGCATGGGAGACCAGGAGAAGCATCTGGCTCCTGGCTTCAGATCAGCGCAGTGGCGGCCATTTGGGGGGTGAACCAACAGAAGGAAGGCCTTTCTCTCTGTCTCTCTCTCACACTGTCTGTAACTCTACCTGTCAAAAAAAAAAATACCTTGAGAAGAAATGACTCTGACCTCACTTCCTGTGTGAGCTGAGTCCCTGGAGTAAGGGTGGAGGAAGCAAGGGGGGAGGAGGAAGCAGGAGTTGGGGGGCCATGCAGATATGTCTGTGCATTTCTATTTTTGTTTTTTTCTTCCCTCTTCTTTAGGGCTCTGATCTTTCCTCCTGCTGACTTCCATTATCACAGCTGCCTGAGGGCTGTACCATGAGCCACAGCCCTCTCAGTCCACTGGCCTTCTGTGTCCTTGGATCCCTTCCACCCATTCCAGCAATCTGGATTGAGTTCCCAGTGGGCATTTGGGGGGTGACCAGCAGACTGAAGCTCTGTCTGTCTCTGTCTCTTACACAAAAATAAGTTCACAGAAAACACACTTCATACGAAGACTATGTGTGCATTTCAAAGTTTTTTTTTTTTGCACCAAAACAAACTTATCTTGTAATTCCATTTTTTTCCCTGAACATTTTGCAGTCACCTTGTAGAGGAAGAAGGCTGATTTGTTGAGGTGACAGCGACCTGATATGCAAGGAGAATTTCACTGGACTTGGACAATCTGGTGTAGAGAAAGTCACAGAGTAAGGACTTCAAAAAAGTGTGAAAGTGGAGAGGACTTTGAGGCATGGGAGTCAGCTGTGGAATCGCACAGTGGGGCAGCAAGGGGTCAAGAAGTAAGACCTGGTCTTTGGGGTCAACAGCTGCCCATGCTCTTTCTTCTTGTCAGCCCCTAGCACTGCATTCTCACATGGGCAGAAAGACTTGCTATTGGACGGTAAAAAGTGGAGGAAGGAGAATTTACCAGAAAATTCAAGCAATGAGTCAGAAGAGATCCGCATGAAATCCAACTGGGACATTGCCTCTACATCACCGATTCTTTAAGTCTAACTAGTTGCTAAGCTGATGTCTTGCCATAGTGGTGAGAAATGCATTTGCTGACTATTTGAAAAGTTAACATATTTTAAACCTGCACAACCTTAAGTAAGAAGTCAGTGGAGGTGTAGTTTTGCTTTTTTCGGGTGTCTGTGTGATGATGAGTCGAGGACTAGTTGAGCTACTTTGTAGTTCAGTTGGTTTCCCAGGTCCAGCTCTGTCGGGAGAGATTTTCCTCCTAGTTCTGACTCTTTCCTTCTGCTGGTAACCTTTGCTGCTCGTGTTTCTTACTCTCTTCGAAACCAGCTAGTTACACTTGTCATTCCCAGGATGCAGAGATACTAGACTGTCACGCTTCTTTCTACTGCCGACTCCTGGGTGGTGCCTGCCGCCATGCTGTGCCAGGTCCTGGCACATGTCGTCCACATATGGCTGTGGGAGGAGGCTGGTCTCATCTGGTGGGAAGAGAAGAGACAAGGAGGGCATTGTTGATGGAATAAAGCAGCGGAATGAGAGCCCCATTTACCCTTGGGGGCTTCTTTTCTGGCACCAGTCCTCAGAAAAGTATTGTGAAAGAGAAGTTTGTCTTGATGATTTAGGGTCCTGATAGAAGCTCAGACATAATTAAGCATATCCCCTCCCCCCAACCTCTTAGCATTAACCTTAGCCTCCTCCCCTAATACCCACACTAACCCGGGCTGTGAACATTTATAAATGGAGCCATTATGGAATCAGGAGAAATTTATGCAACTTTGAAAATGTTCTTATTCCCCAAGCTCTGTGCGTCTCCCCCCTTTCCACGCCCACTTCAGACGTTTAGACAAGGACTTTGGTCACTGTGACCGGACCATCTGTGTAGCCTTGAGTGGTGGGGTCACGGCTCTTGGTTCTCAAGAATATGATCACATGCCAGCAGCAAAAATGCGCTAAACTCACCTGACTCAGTGGCTCCACTTCCCACTGAGGTGAGCTAGCAAATGTGGAAAAGTCTGACTTCAGAACCATCCTTGGTGCCCGTTCTGCCTTTCCCACTCACTGCCTGAGCTATGACCTTTGCAAGTGATCTAACCTCTCCACACCTTCATTTCCTCACCCATCTAGAACACAAGGATACAATTAATGCCTACATCATAGGATTGTAATGAGGATGGAATGAGTTAGTATTAGATAAGGGTTGGCTCACAGTGAGTTCTGTGTATCTTACCTTCTTTTCCTTCCTGCCATAAACTGTTAATAACAGAGTAGACATTTCAAGTACTTAAAACTAGATGGGGGGCGGTGCTGTGGTGCAGAGGGTTTAAGCCCTGGCCTGAAGCGTCGGCACCCCATATGGGTGCTGGTTCTAGTCCTGGCTGCTCCACTTCCAATCCAGCTCTCTGCTGTGGCCTGGGAAAGCAGTAAAAGATGGCCCAAATCCTTGGGCCCCTGCACCTGCGTGGGAGACCTGGAAGAAGCTCCTGGCTCCTGGTTTCAGATCGGTGCAGCTCCAGCCGTTGCGGCTATCTGGGGAGTGAACCAGAGGATGGAAGCCCTCTCTCTGTCTATCTCTCTCTGTAACTCTGTCTTTCAAATAAATAAATAAATCTTTAAAAAAAAAAACTAGATGGAAATAGAATTCTCTCTCATGCAAATTTTTTAAAAGATTTTATTTATTTGAGAGGTAGTGTTACAGACAGTGAGAGGAAGAGACAAAGGTCTTCCTTCTATTGGTTCACTCCCCAAATGGCTGCAATGGCCTGAGCTGTGGCGATCTGGAGCCAGGAGCCAGGTGCTTCTTCCCAGTCTCCCACATGGGTGCAGGGGCCCAAGGACTTGGGTCATCTTCTACTGCTTTCCCAGGCCACAGCAGAGAGCTGGATTGGAAGTGGAGCAGCCGGGACTAGAACCGGCGCCATATGGGATGCCAGCGCTGCAGGCAGAGGATTAACCTACTGTGCCACAGAGCCGGCCCTCTCATGCAAATTAAGTTCAGAGGTAAGCAGTCCAGAGCTGGTGGACCATCCTGTTATCAGCAAGGCCCCAGAAACCTTCGATTGTGGCTTCCATCTTCAAGGCTCATGGTCTAAGATGTGTTTTCTGGAAGTTCTACTGAACAACTTTAGCTGACACCTAATTGGCCACCTCTAACTGCAGTGAATGTTGGGACATGTTTTCTTTTAACCAAGCACATTGAACAACATCAGGTTTTCCTTACTAAGGAAAAAGAGAGGAGTGGATGCTTGGTAGGCAGGTTGTGGTCTGGGACATGGCAGGTAACAGAAGTGTTTCATTGCCATGTTGCCGTGTCTTAGCCTGTTTCCTGTTGCTGTAACTGAACATCACAGGCTAGGTGACTTATTAAAGATAGGTGTTTATTTAGCCTACTGGTGTGGAGGCTGGGAAGGCCAAGAACATGGTGCTGACCTCTGCTCAGCATCTGGCAGGGGCCTTCCTGCTGGGCTGTGGCGTGGTCCAGGACATCACATGGGGAGCCTGAGCGAGTGAGTCAGAGAGAGCTCACTTTTATAACCAAGCCACTCCCACAGTAGCCCATTGAATATTGATCTGTGAATGCACTGAGCCACTCAAGAGGCCGAGCCCATCCCTCCAAGAGGTCTCCCTGCTCAACACTGCTGCAAGGGAACCAAGTTCCCAAAACACGAAACCATAGCACACTGAATAGCTCTGATTCCTACTGCGCCTGGAAATGTACAGGCTCCGAATTTCCTATTCTATGAGAGATCATTTCACATCCTTGCCAAGTTTCTATATTGCTGCCCTTAGAGTCTTCTTAAAATGTGTTCTCTGTATAATTTTTTAAAGATTTATTTATTTATTTGAAAGGCAGAGCTACAAAGAGGCAGATGCAGAAAGAGAGAAAGAGGTCCTTCATCTGCTGGTTCACTCCCCAGATGGCTACAATGGCTGGAGCTGCACTGATCTGAAACCAGGAGTCAGGAGCTTCTTCCAGGTCTCCCATGTGGGTGCAGGGACCCAAGGACTTGGGCCATCCTCTACTGCTTTCCCAGGCCATACAGAGAGCTGGACTGGAAGAGGAACATCCAGGACTCAAACCGGTGCCCATATAGGATACCAGCACTGCAGACAGTGGCCTTACCGGCTATGCCATAGCACTGGCCCCTCTCTGTGTAATTTTAGCAAGATACTCTGATGTGATCTTGTGTGTGTGTGTTTGTGTGTGTGTGTGTGTGTGTGTGTGTGTGTGTTTTTCTTGGTTTCTTTTAGAATGCCTGGCAGGCTGCTCTCTCTCTTCTGGATGTGAAAGGAGACACAAGCCTACCCCGGGGGCATGGACAGCCCTTAGGATGCTGGCTGGAAATTTTTCAAGATTGCATCCATGAACCTCTGGAAAGCAGCAGAGAACTAAGAACAGTTTATTTCCTGCAGAGAACCACATGATCAATTGGCGGTAGCAGGGTCCTGGATGGGGTAAGGGGGAAGGGAGGCCATCATGGAATAGGGTTGTGGGTGGGATGTCTGCCTCAGGAAGGATGCTTTGTGCCCAAGAAGTGTCTGTGCTTGTGAACAGAGAGTTGTGCTGTGACCGAACATCGTACCGGAACCAGGTGCAGTATAGAGAACCCTGGTTTCCTCCAGCTCTGCTCCACGAAATGTCCAGGGCTGACCCCGGGAGTTGTCTTAGAGTAGACCGAACCCTCCCTCCTCAGCCTCAGGAGTTATGCTCCCAGCCCCACCCCAACCTGCACTCCTCCCCTGCTTAGCCCGCCTTTCTCCTTCCCATTCTTGGCCATATCTCTGGAGGGGGTCCTGGCTGCAGCAGTGGGGATGGGGGTGGGAATGGTGTGGAGGCAGGTATCCCAGGGCCCAAAGGGTCTGCTGGAGGGGGTGTGTGTCACAGAGCAGATTCCCATGGTGCTGTGAGGGGGAGTGGGCTGTGCTTTTTCTTTTAGCCAAGAGAGGAGGAGGTCACCAGGAGCCCTGGTTGAGGGCTGTCTGAGGAAATGACACACACACAGACACACACACACACACATGCAGGCACTTAGGTGCTCACATGCAAACCCACACTGATATGTGCAAGCACACACCCCCACACTCTCTTGCTCTCTCCTGTTGGTCAACTTGTACTTTGGGTGTTCTGGGCAGGAGAGAGGGGTTTAGTAGGGATTCGGTCTTAAGGATATGCTCTGTGTTGTTGCCTGCAAGCCCCCTATTGGTAACACACCTACGCCATTGCTTTCCCTTCAGATCTGAAAACCTCCCTCTGTTTACTTGGAATACGCCTCACCCTCCAAGACAGAGTTTTCTCCAGAGCCTGTTGTCCCTGCACAGCAGGGCTCCTGCTCCTGCAGCCGCAATTCCTTCACCCTCCAAGAAGGCTGCCAGGAATGACGAGGGGAGGGGGAAGCCGTGGGCGGTGGCAAAAGGCAGGGCCAGGGAAGAGCCCGGACCCTGCGGCTCCAGCCTGAGGACTCCTCTCTCTGCTCCTTCCCCCTGCTGTTGGTGCTGCTGCTCAAAGCTGCCAGGTGAGTGCAGGTGAATGTGTGGGTGGAGAGCAGCTGGGCTGCCTCAGGGTCTGGTTAAGTTGTGTGTGTGTGAGTGTGTGTGTGTGTGTGTGTGTGTGTTTGTGTGGGTACCCTGGGGTCTAGAGAGGCTTCTCCAGCTGTGATGCGCACACAAATCACCTGGGGATTTTATTACGATTCAGATGTGGTTTAGGAAGTGTGGAGTGTGGGCCTGAGATCCTGTATTCCTGGTGATGCCAGTGTTGCTGCTCCATGGCCATGTTTTCAGTAAAAGATTCTAGAATGTTTTCCAGCCCAGGTTGGGCAAGATAGGATTGATGAGCCTGGGTCTGCACTGCCAGGTCCCACCGTCATCACTGGACATCACCTGCCTTATACCTGAACCCCCGGCCACCAAGGGAATCTTGAACATTGTATCCAAAAGAACTAGAGATGCTTAGAAAAACTCTTATCAAAAGCATGATGGAATTTCAAAACAATCTGTTTAGATATTTGAAAATCTACTCAAACTCTGCATTTTCCTTTTCTCTGACATCTCTTGAACTAATCAGTGTTGCTTCTCTGACTAAAATAATTTTTTTAAAGAAGATTTACTTCTTTAATTGAAAGGCATAGTGTCAAGGAAAGGGTGAGGGAAAGAAGGAGGTTGGGAGGCGGAAAGTGGAGGTAGGTAGATGTGGGGGGAGAGAGATAGATATCTTCCATCCCCTGGTTCTCTCCCCAAGTGGCTGCAATATCAGGGCTGGGCCAGGCAGAAGCCAGGAGCTTGGAACTCTATCCAAGTTCCCCACGTGGGTGGCAGGGCACCAAGTACTTGGGCCATCATCTGTTACTTTTCCAGATGTATTAGCAGGGAGCTGGATGGAAAGCAGAGGAGCCAGGACTGGCGCTGGTATCCTGAGATCCCTGCAGCAGCCTAACCCACTATGCCACAAGGCCTACCCCTGACCAAAATCTTTTTTTAAAAGATTTATTTATTTATCTGAAATTCAGAGTTACACACAGAGAGAAGGAGAGGCAGAGGCAGAGGCAGAGAGAGAGAGAGAGAGAGAGAGAGAGAGAGAGAGGTCTTCCATCTGCTGGTTCACTCCCCAGTTGGCGGCAATGGCCGGAGCTGTGCCGATCTGAAGCCAGGAGCCAGGAGCTTTTTTGGGTCCCCCATGCGGGTGCAGGGACCCAAGGACTTGGGCCATCTTCTACTGTTTTCCCAGGCCACAGCAGAGAGCTGGATCAGAAGTGGAGCAGCTGGGACTAGAACTGGCGCCAATATGGGATGCCGGCACTGCAGGTGGAGGCTTTACCCACTACACCACAATGCCAGCTGCAGACTTATTTGTGAGAGGAGGATGCAGGTTGCAGAGAATGATACAGGGGGGCTGGAGACAGCTGGACCACATGGGGGAGACCACAGGGTCCCAGGAAAGCAGGAGATGAGGGAGGAGGGAGGGCGGGAGTAAGGGAGACTCCCTTTGCTCTGTAGACTTTGGGAGATGGGGCAAAATTTGGTCGAACCCTCCAGGAGGTCCCCAATCTGTGTGGAAGACATGTGATTTTGGTGATAACAACCTCACCAGGAAGGAGAAGGAAGGGTGTCTAGGGTTAGATATGGGGGCTCCAGCCCAAGGGAGTCTCAGGGAAATCTTATTCGCTTTTGTCCCCCTCCCCCTTCCAACCCCCAGAGCTCTGTGGGGAGCTCTGGAGACCTCAGCTGAGTTCTGAGAAGACATTTGGTGTGGGTGTCCAGTAAAGGGACTGAATGTATAAGAGCTAGAGGAGGGAGGGAGGGAGGGAGGGGGGGAGGGAGAGAGAGACAGAGAGTGATGCAAAAGACCCTGGAAACCACTTGAATTTCTGACACCTGGAATATGCCCTGCATTCAACTATTAAATTCCAGGCATGCAGGGAATGTGCTGGACATGTGTTCTAGAGGGTGCTGGGCTTGCATTTTCAAATAAGATGAGGCTGGGAGCAAGACTTGAGAATTGACCCAATTGGTGTTTAGTCTGACAACTCTTCAACAGAGCCTGGGCAGAACCCTCAAATCCAGGGACCCAGGGCCTATTTCAGGAGGAGGGTGCAGGCACCCCATCAATGGGGCTGGTTGAGTCCCATCCTGGCAGCCAGCCAAGATGCTCTGGTACTCTCTTGCTTTACAGAGCTGGTACCTGAGGCCAACAGTGGATAAACAATGAAGCAGTGCGTCTCAACCAGAGGTGATTTGCCCCAAGGACATTCAGCAACATCTGGAGATTTTTGTTTGTTTGTTTTGTTATGAAGTGGGTGGGAAGGGAGAGGTGTGCTTCTGGCATTTAGTGGGAAGAGATCAGGAATGCTGCTCGATGTTCTACAAGGCACAGGACTTAAAGAACTGCCAGGCTCCCAATGTTGGTAGTGCCAAGGTTGAGACACTTAGTACCAGCACAGGGACACTGGAGACTTTGTTTTGGTCCTTTGTGGAGCTCAAATCAGCCCAAATAAAACTCAGAGTCAAACACGGGGCATGTGTTTAGTGTAGTGGTTAAAATACTGCTCAGGATGCCTGCATACCATATCAGACTGCCTGGATTGAAGTCTGGGCTCTGCTTCGCCTTCCAGCTTCCTGCTAATGTACACCTGGGGAGACAGCCATGCTGCCTCAAGTACTTGAGCTTCTGCAGCCTGTGTGGGAGATCTGGGGTCCTGGCTTCAGCCTGGCCTACTCCCAGTTGTTGTAGGCATTTGAGAAGTGAACCAGCAGATGGGAGATTCTCTCTCTCTCTGTCTCTCTCATCTGTCAATCATATCTGTCCATCATCTGACTTTTCAGATAAATAAAATGCAAACACTTATTGAGAAACCACTTTTTTTCCCCAGGCACTTCACTACGTACTCTCCCCTTTAAGGAAGCGACAGGCCTAGTATCCCTGTCTGAAATGCTTGGGACAAGAAGTGTTTTTTGATTTTGGATACTTTTGGATTTTGGAATATTTGTACATACATAGTTAGGTCTTGGGGATAAGATCCAATTCTAAACACAAAATTAATTTATGTCTCATGTATACCTATACACCTAGCTTGAAGGTAATTTTATTAACATTTTGATGCACCTGGGTTTTGACTGCCACCCAATCCATGAGGTCAGGCACAGGACTTTCCTCTTGTGGAAGCAGAGCAACACTCAGAAAGTTTTGGATTTTGGAGCATTCAGATTTTGAATTTTCAGCTCAGGGATGCTCAGCTAATAGTGATTTTGTTTTCTTCTTGTCTTGATTTTCAAATTAGGACACAGGCTTTGTTCCTGTATCTATCTAACTTTGTTTACTTTCAATCGTTCATTTCTTCCTCTCAATTCTAGAAGAGTATGTCCCAATTGTGTTTTTCGGTATCCCAATCAGGTTTTCTGCAGAATCTGTCCTACTGCCTTCAAGGTAACTGTCTTATTGGTGATCCTTTTCCTACTCTATTGGTAGTAAGCTGATATATTTGAAAATACATTTGTTTGGCTGGCGCCGTGGCTCACTAGGCTAATCCTCCGCCTTGCGGCGCCGGCACACTGCATTCTAGTCCTGGTCGGGGCGCCGGATTCTGTCCCAGTTGCCCCTCTTCCAGGCCAGCTCTCTGCTGTGGCCCGGGAGTGTAGTGGAGGATGGCCCAAGTACTTGGGCCCTGCACCCCATGGGAGACCAGGAAAAGCACCTGGCTCCTGCCATCGGATCTGCGTGGTGTGCCGGCCACAGCGCGCCGGCCGCAGCGGCCATTGGAGGGTGAACCAATGGCAAAGGAAGACCTTTCTGTCTCTCTCTCTCTCACTGTCCACTCTGCCTGTCCGGAAAAAAAAAAATTTGTTCTCATTTTTGAGAAGTCTGGGGAACAAGGGATAACTGTCATCTGCCATCTTTAGTCATGAGACCACTTTTGCATATTTCTAGGGATTAAATATTTATTGTTTTTAATTACTTTCAAAGATTTATTTCAAAGGCAAAGTGACAGAGAGAATGAGAAAAAGAGATAAGGAGATTTTTCCATTTGCTGGTTCACTCCCCAAATGGCCCTGATGGGACTGGGCCAGGCTGAAACCAGGAGCCAGGAACTCCATCCAGGTCTACATGTGGGAGCAGGGGTCATGGTACTTGGGCCATCTTCTACTCCCTTCCCCAGGACATTAGCAGGGAGCTAGATTGGAAGCAGAGCAGTTGGGACTCTAATGGTCCCTCTGATATGGGATACCAGCAACGCAGGCAGTGGCTCAACCAATTGAGTCACAATGCTGGCTCCACTTCTAAAATATTTTTAACCTATTTTTGTAGAAAAGAATTTTCAATGGCCTCTGATACACGCACTGTATTCATGGTCTATGATGGAAGTAAAACAGTGGGGACAAGGGGCAGGCAGACATTCAAACTCTGGTTCCTAGAGGCTCAGAACAGTTTTCTCACAGTTGGTAGATGGCGACATACTTTTCTGGTCGGCTGAGACCCTTAGGTTGGTCCCTTGGAAGCATCTCACTCTGTCTCTTCTGACTGCATAAAGATGTCTGTTCTGCCTAATCTGTGGCATGTGCTTTGTTCTTATAGGGGTAAGAAAACAATCTGTAGAAACTGAAATCAGTTTATTTTGTTACAAAAATTATTTGAATTTCAAGCATAGTTTTTTGTTAATATGCATTTCCATGAAATTTTAAAGACCTCTCCTACATGTAGTTTATAAAATTTAATACCCACTTAAAATAGTTTTGTGCATATTCTTGAGTGTTATAAGCTGATATGAGACAGCTTAGGCATGTCTCCTATGCTGCCATGCTAACTTAGAGACACAGGTTATTGTTATATAAAGGGTGATGCCTAAGCAGATTCACTGTTGGGGAGGAAACAGGGTGCTCCGAGTTATGGGAAAAATAACATGAGAATCAAATCATTGAAGAAGCAGAAAAGGAGATATCATAGGACACAGATTTGGACGAGTAGCCTTGGACAGATGTAGGTGCATTTTGAATCTCTAAGATACTAGACAAGGAAGAAAACAGGAGGGTAAGAGACAGTAGTAGTTGTGCATTTTCACATGAAATAATCTCCATTCTCTTTTTTGGAATAAGAGGTTTGCATGGTGCTTTGCTCTGTTTGGGTTGCTATAACAAGATATCTCCATCTGGGTAATTTATAAACAACAGAAACTTATGTTTTTCAGATCTGGAGGCCAAGAAGTCCAAGCTCAAGGCACCAGCAGATTCTATGGCTGGTGAAGGCCTGTTCTTCACAGATGGTGCACCCCTCACAGGGTGGAGGGGCCAGAGGGCTCTCACAAACCTTTTTTTTTTTTTAAATTATTTATTTTGAAATTTAGAGTTACAGAGAGACATACATATATATATATATTTAGAGTTACAGAGAGATGCATATATATACATACATACACACACATATATATATGAAGATAGAGAGAGAGAGAGAGATACAAAGAATATCTTCCATCTGCTAGTTCACTCCCTAGATGGCCACAACAACTGAAGCCAGGAGCTAGGAGCTTCATTTGGGTCTCCCATGTGGGTGGCAGTTACCCACATACTTGGGGCCATCTTCTGCTTTTTCCAGACGCATTAGCAGGGAGCTGGATTGGAAATGGAGCAACTGGAACACAAATCAGTGCCCACATGGGATGCTGGCATTGCAGGTGGCATCTTTACCTGCTATGCCACAATGCCAGCCCCTACAAACCTCTTTTATAAGGATACTAATCCCATTCAAGAGGGTTTACCTTTCATTATCTAAGGGCTGCTCCTTTTAATATTCTCACTTTGGGTATTAGGTCCCACCATACGCGTTTTGTGGAGCACACTAGCACTCAGACTATGGAACACGGTTTCTGAGAGTGAGGGTTTAGGGTAAATACGAATGATTGAGAACAGCTGCTTGGCACTGAGAAAGGCTGCTGATTAGGTCAAAGATAAAGATGGCAAACTCAGGCTTGTATCATGATGCTGTTTTGGCCAGGGAACTGAAGAATTTCTGAAACCTGTCCTTAACCATGGTTGCCTCTCGCCAAGAATGAGATAAACCTGAAGAACAACCAAGAAGGAGCCAAACTTTGAATTCTTTTCCCATCAGCTCGGCCTTTGCCCCCAAACCCTATGGCGTTTAACTCTGGTAAACTCTTCTGGGTTATCCTCAAAATATTTTCTTTGCTAAACTGGTAAGGTCTAAAGAGCATCAGACTAGAGGAAGCCTTGACATTTGCTCTGTTCATTGCATCTCATCTGTAAGCAGCTCTCTAACCTAATTGCATTTCAGTCGTACCATGTAATGGGAGCAGAGGCCGCCCAAACATACCTGTACACACCTGAGGGCATGGCAGCTGAGGAAGGTGGAGAACAAGAGAATGTAAGTTTGAAGCCAGTGTCAGCGCTGATTTAGTTAAGATGATGTGTTCATAGTATCAGACCTACCCGCCATCACCTGTGTAAGCAGCCGTTTTCAAAGGGCAAGCAATCAAAACCACCACCCTGGTCTCTTACTTTTAGCCTTTGGGAAACAATGAATGAGGAAGAGAAAGACCGTAGGGCTGGCATTGTGGCGTAGCAGGTAAAGCCCCTGAAACAATGACATCCCATATGGGCGCTGGTTCAAGTCTCAGCTGCTCCACTTCTGATCCAGCTCCCTGCTAATGGCCTGAGAAAAGCAGCAGGAGATGGCCCAAATACTTGGGCCCCTGCCACCCACATGGGAAACCCAGATGAAGCTCCTGGCTTCAGCTTGGCCCAGCCCTGGCTGTTGCAGCCATCTTGGGGAGTGAACCAGCAGATGGAAGATCTTTCTATCTCTCCCTCTCTCTGTAACTCTGACTTTCAAATGAATTAAACAAAAATTTTTTTTTTAAAAGACAGACTCTGGTTTCTCCCCACCCTGAGAGCTCCTCTCCATTCCAGCAGCACAGCAGGGGAGGGAAAAGAGAGAGAACAGCCACACACAATTATTTTACATAGGCCACTCAGTTAACTAATAAATAAGTACAACCAAATCCTTGGAGAACTAAAAGGCTTCCTAAAGCTATCCTTGGGTTAGGAGTGATGTAGTGGCCTGCAGCTCCCTCTAGTGGAGAGGGAGCAGTACACGCGCTCTGATCATTGTTCTCTGCCCTGTAACAGGATGTGTGGCCCATTCCTGAGGCGACTGTTACGTGAGGAGAGCCAGCACTCCACCCCTGTGGGGCGCCTCCTGCTTCCTGTGCTCCTGGGATTCCGCCTCGTGCTGTTAGCTGCCGGTGGGCCTGGCGTCTATGGCGATGAACAAAGTGAATTTGTGTGTCACACACAGCAGCCAGGCTGCAAGTCGGCCTGCTATGACGCCTTCCACCCCCTCTCTCCACTGCGCTTCTGGGCCTTCCACGTCACCTTAGTGACTGTACCCAGTGCCCTCTACATGGGTTTCATCCTGTATCATGTGATCTGGCATTGGGAAGAATCAGGAAAGCTGAAGAAGGAGGAGGAGGCCCTGGTCCCTGAAGGGGAGAGCAGTAAGGATGCCTCAGGGACTGGGAACTTGAGGCTCCTCTGGGCCTATGTGGCACAACTGGGGACTCGACTGGTCCTTGAAGGAGCAGCCCTTGGGGGGCAGTACCATCTATATGGGTTCAAAATGCCCAGTTCCTTTGCATGCCGTCGAGAGCCTTGCCTTGGTAGTATCACCTGTAATCTTTCCCGCCCCTCTGAGAAGACCATCTTCCTAAAGACCATGTTTGGGGTCAGTGGGGTCTGTCTCTTCTTTACTCTTTTGGAGCTTGTGCTTCTGGGATTGGGGAGATGGTGGAGGAGCCGGAAGCACCAATCCTCCTCTTCTAACTACTTCCCAACTTCAGAGAGCACTAGAAGTCACAAAGAACCAACCAATACCTTCCCAGTGATGGAAACAAAACAGCAGTTTCGGGAAGCAGGTGAGGAGGACACCAATGACCCTGTTTCTTCCTGCCCCTGATGTCTGTCCTGATTATCTCCCCCCAGAGCAAAAGTTACAAAGTAGATATCCCAATTCCAGGCCGAGTGTTCTGACAATAGCTCCCAACCCATCTCCCAGTGCTCACTCTCATCAGTTGGATGATACCTTCCAGTGAGCCAGGGGAAGAGTTCTAGTCCATAGTAGCCCTTCCATGAAATCTCTTCCCTCTTAGGAAAAGTCTCACCTTCTCCTTAATTACTTTGCAGCATTATGAAGGCATCTGACTCACCTGAAGGAAACCCTATGATGGGATCTTCTCAATAGCCAGTGAGTGGGGATTCATGTTCATGACAAATTAGAGGCTGTTGAAGCATCTCTAAGGATAAAGGATCTAAGGATGAGCCACGCTGTCTAAAGCATTTCCCGGAAGAGTTCCTGCTTGTGCCTTCTCACCAGAATTCTCTGGGGTCAGCCCCAGAATTTTCAAAGAGTTGGTTCAAGAGTCAGCCAGAAGCCTCTATAAACTGTGCCTCTCCGCTGCCCAGCTCAATAAACGTTGATGACTGTTATGGGCATTCCTGTTGCTGGAGACAACACTCCTTCCTGATTCAGTGACTCCACTTAGCTCTCTTCTGTTCCGAATTCTCTACTACTCCCAACTCCAAAGTCCATGGCCCTAGCCTAGCAGCATATATTACAACCAGAAACTTTGACGTTTCAAACATATAAAACACAGTGTCCCTTAAGAGCTACTTGAGATTTATTCAAACACACAGCCACATCTTTTGGAAAAGTTACTGTAAATTAAGGAGCTTGTGTCCTTAGACCTATGATTGCTCTGATTTTTGCTTACTTTTTATTCTCCACTTCATGCATTGCAGCTGTTTCATGGCCTGTAGCATAGCTGCAACTCATGTGAGAACAAGTCTCCGTTTTTAAACTCAGCCTTCAAACCAGACAGCAAAGCAGTAGGGTTTCCCTGCTGACTCAGGAGTAATAGCAAAAGAGTTCTACATCACAGTGCGATTCAGTAGATAATTTAAACCTGAACATCAGGTGTCTTTGAGTCTCTCAGTCATTCTGTTGGAGAGTGTTTAACCTACCACTTTTTTTTTTTTCTCACAAAGATAAGTTACCTGGTTTTGTTTTCTTTTTCAGAATCCAAGATATCCCAAAGCAAGTTAGGAAGGTTCATTTCTTTTTTTATTTGAAAGAGTTACAAAGAGAAGGAGAGGGAGGGGGAAGGGGGAGGGAGAGGAGGTGAGAGAGGGAGGAGGAATGGTGGGAGGTGGAGGAGGAGGGTGGGAGGTGGAGGAGGTGGGGGAAGGAAAGGGAGAAGGAGGAGGAGAGGGAGAGGGAGGGAGAGAGGGAGGAGGAAGGGGAGGGGGAGGGAGAGGGGAGGGGAAGGAGAGGGACAAACACTACATCTGGATCTCTCACATGGGCAGCAGGGACCCAAGTACTTGAGCCATCTTCTGCTGCCTTCCCAGGTGCATTAGCAGAAGCAGAGCAGCCAGGACATGGACTGGCACTGTGATAAGAGATGCTGGCATCACAAGTGGGGCTCAACTCACTATGCTACAATGCTGGCTCCCCTGTGTACCAGCTTTTTATGGATATGTTTACAATCCTTTTGGGAAATGTCTAGAAGGCTTATGGTAACTCTGTGCTTAGCTTTGGGAGAAACTGCCAAATTGATTTCCAAGGCAACTTTTATATTCTCACCAGCAATATGTAAGGGTTCCAATTTAGCTACATCCTCACCAACATTTGTTGTTCCATTAAAAAAAAAATTAGGGGCTAGCGCTGTGGCATAGTGGGTAAAACTGCTGCCTGCAGTGCTGGCATCCCATATAGGCCCCAATTTGGGTCCTGGCTGCTCCACTTCTGATCCAGCTCTCTGCTATGGCCTGGGAAAGCAGTGGAAGATGGCACAAGTCCTTGGGCTCCTGCACTTGTGTGGGAGATGTGGAAGAAGCTCCTGGCTCCTGGCTTCGGATTGGCACAGCTCTGGCTATTGTGGGGAGTAAACCAACAGACGGAAGACCTGTCTCTCTAACTCTGCCTTTCAAGTAAAAATAAAATAAAATATTAAAAAAATTCTAGCAGTCCTAGTTGGTGTGAGGTGATATCTTATTATGTTTTTGATTTGCATTTCCCTAATGACTAATGAAGTTGAGCAGCTTACCGTGTTTATTGGCCACTTGTATATCTTCTTTGGAAAAATATCTATGCAAATTCTGCATCGATTTTAAAGTTGGCTTACTTGTATTTTTGTTGTTGCATTGCAAGAGCTCTTTACATATTCTGAATTTTAGATATTTATCATATATATGATTTGTAAATGTTTTCTCCCATTCTGTGGGCTTTCAACTTTCTGAGAGTATTCTTTGATGCACAAAAGATTTTCATTTTGATGAAGCCTACTTTACCCATTTTTCTTTTGAAACTTGTTATTGTGGTATCACATTTAAAGTCATTGCCTAATCCCCATGCTGTGAGAATTTATACTCATGTTTCTATCTATGAATTATATAGTTTTAGTTTTAACATTTATGTCTCTAATTGGTTTTGAGTTCATTTTTTTGTGGTGTGAAGTAAGGGTAAACTTCATTCTTCACCATGTAAATATATTGTTACCGCAGCACTATTTCTTGAAAGGTTATTTTTTTCCCTCCTTGAATGTTCTTGCCACCCTGGTTGAAAATCAGTTGAAGAAATATGGAGTTATTTTTAAAGTGTCAATTCAATTCCATTGATTTATGTTTTTCCTTACATGAGCTGAACCACCTGCAATACTAGTGGGAAGTCTCTAATCTGGGGAAGACCACTGAAACCCACATTGGCTTTTCTTAAGCATTAGAACCTCTATCTGCACTGGGTGGGCGCGCCCCATGCTTTCTCTACCAGATGGCTGTCTCCTATGCTGGGAAAGAAGGCAGTCAGGGGTGCAGGTGATCAGCTCCCAGCAGCTTGTGGGGCTAGACACTCCCATTCCTGCTCGCAGTCCTCAAACCCCAGCAGAGCTGGGCCTCGGTGGGAGCAACAGGAAATCCTTCCGTTCTAGAAACTCAACTAGATTGTCAAGACCGGGTTCCTCTTCCTGGAGAGTGAGGCTGAACCAAACAGGAGAGGCACAGGTGGCGGCTCGCAGACCCCTGCGGCCTTCTAGGCTCTGACAGCTCGGTCAGAACGCCCCTTTGGGCTGGCGGGCCTCCAGAATTCCAGGATTTAAACGGGCCCGAGCCGAGGACGGACGCAGAATTCACCCTCCAAAGTGACGTACCTAGGTTTCCCGCGGGAAATGCCTGCAGCTGTGCGGAGGACCCGCCCACAGTCCCGTCATGCTTCGCGCGCAGGCCCGCGACGTCTCGTGCGTCCTCCGGGCGCCGGAACCCGGAAGCCGCTGAGGCGACCGGGCTGGGCGGCGGCTTAGTTCGCCTCTCGCTGGGTCACGGGCCCCTGAGGCGAGACTTAAACGTTTTCCGCTCGCGGTTGCGAGCGCGAGTGGCTCCTCCCGCCGTAACCGGCCGAGAGACGGCTCAGGGCAGAGCAGCGACATGGAAGCCGAGGACTTCCAAGACGAGCTGACCTGCTCCATCTGCCTGGATTATTTTGAGGACCCAGTGTCCATCGAGTGCGGGCACAACTTCTGCCGCCGCTGCCTGAGCCGCAGCTGGACGCCGAGTGGCGGCTGCTTCCTCTGTCCCGAGTGCCGGCAGCCGTCAGCGCCCGGCGCGATGCGGCCAAACTGGGCCCTGGCCAGGATGACGGAAAAGAGGCGGCGCCGGCACCAGGGCCCAGCGCCTCAGAACCTGTGCAGCCGCCACCGGGAACCGCTGCGGCTCTTCTGCGAGGTCGACCAGCGGCCTGTGTGCTTGGTCTGCAGGGAGTCCCGGGAGCACCGGGCCCACGCCATGGCTCCCATCGACGAGGCCTTTCAGAACTACCGGGTGAGCCGGCTGTCGCAGTGACCGTTACGGGGCCGCCAGTATTGCCCACGAACGTTCACTTAAACAAACAAACAAACAAAAAAACCCCTCATGGAGTAGCTGTAATTCCCATTTCAGAATGAAAAGCCCCAAAACCCCAAAATGATACATGAGTCTCAGAGATGCGGTTAAAACTAGCATTGGGGGAGGGGCAGTGCAAGCTTCAGCCGTCATTGTATAGGTTTTTCAAGGCATGCCCCTGGGGACCCCTCCTTAAGCTGAAAACCTGCCAAGAGCCTGCGTACCAGTGCTGTCCGGTAGAAACAAGGTGAACCGCCTGTGTATCTTAGAACGCCTAGTAGTGCTAAGCCACAGGTGACGTTAACTTTACGTTATTTAACCCAATTATCCAAAATACTGTTAATTAACGTTTAGGTGAAACTTATCAGGTATTTTACACTTTTTTTCTACAGGTCTTTGAAATCCTTGTGCATTTTACACTTAAAGCATATATCAACTCTGCATTTCACGTGCTTGAATGGTTAATGGATGCTTTACTTGACAGGTCTATACCAATAGATGACATAGAAAACTCACTTAGGAAAAGCCTGACTTGGAGTGATAAGGCTGGTTTTTGTTACTAGTTTCCTTCATCGATTGGGGAAATTACTTAATATTTGGGAATTATCTATCCTTTCTATTTCTCCAGTTAAGAGACAAGTGGAATGTCAGTTGACCTTACTTTGCTCCAGCCACACTTTCTTGCTTTCATTTCAAGTCTGTTCTCTTTCTCTCCCCCTATCCTCAATTCTTCAGATCCTTTTAGCTTCTAGACTGAAGACCTTCCCTGATCATCCTTTCCAGAGTAGCCCTACCCCCTTCCATTACCACCAGTGTAACTCTAATGGTCTCCAACAGAATTGATACTCAGTAAGTACATGAACATACAGATTTAGTGATACAGTGAAAATGTTTTTGTAAAATGTTGTACAGTCTTATCAGCTGACTACAAACAAGAAACATGCAAAGCTGATCTTCGTTTAGTAACCTCTTTGATGCTTAGTATGTGCCAAGCATTGTTCCAGGATCTGGTGCTAAACGGATGAAAAAGACTTGAATTTTGTCTTGTAAGGGATGTAAGCACATAGACCATTAACTTAGGTGTGTGTGAGAGTGAAGGCCTGAGGTCAGACTCATTCTGGGAAGTCCTCCCAGAAAAGTAAACTTTTATCAGTTCTTGAAGGGTGAGTATAATAAAGCAGAGGAGAGAGTATTTCAGCAGATTCAGAATGTGCTGCCATAGAGTAGCATGTGAAATGTGAGAGGGTACTCAGTACTTCAGAGATGTGGAGTAGGAGTTGAGGTTGAAGAAAGGCAAAGGCCATGTCATCAAAGGTCTGTTCACTATACCAAAATGGCAGAGCTTTCTCTTTCTGGCAGTAGGAAGTCAAAAGATTTTAAAGCAGGAATGTTATGATTGTTTGTTTTAGAAAGATTACTTTGGAACCCACATGCATGGATAGAAAAAAAAGACCAATTGGGCTATGTTTGTATCATTTTAAGCAAGAGGTAATAAATAATTAGTGCAGGGCACGAGTGATGAAGAAGAGGCAGTGGATTAATTATGAGCTGGAATGACTTGGTGACCAATTAATTGGTCTTGATAGGTGAGAGAGAGGAAGTTAGGATAGTAGTCCAGATTTCTGGTTTAGGTGTCAAATAGATATTAGGGGTTAATGGTGCCAAAGTATGTAGGAAAAAGAGTGGGCTTTAGGACAGAAGATCCCATGCTCATTTTGGAACATATTAAGTGTAAAGTCACTGATGGGAAGTCTAACAAAGAGGGACAGAAGGTGGTGGGGATAGGAAAAGGGCTCTATGAAGCTAGGGACAGAATATTCTAGAATTGTCATCCTGTCTCTGTCATGGTAGAAGTAAGCAGAGTCTCCCAGGGGGCCACATAGAGAGTAAGATGGGTATGAAGAGAAGGGCCATTTTCTGCTTTCCCAGGCATTAGCAAGGAGCTGGATTGGAACTCAAATTGGCACCCATATGATGCAGGTGTTGCATGTATCAGCTTAACCCACTGTGCCACAATGCTGGCCCGCCCCATATTTCTTAATTTGGTAACTAACTTGCAGTCCGTCTAATTATTCAACCCAGAATCCATGGGCTAAGTCTGGACTCCCTTCTTCTAAAGCTGTTTGATCATCAATTCCTGTTGGTTTTCCGCTGCATGTTTCTCCAGCCTTTTTCTGTCTGAGGTCATGTCTGACATTTGTTAATGTTGATTAAGTTTTATTTCTTACTAGCACAGATGATAAAAATGGCATATATTTCTTGTAGAAATTCAAACAAAAGTTAATAAAAAATTTTTAGATTTCCTTTCCTCAAGCTTACAAGTTATTTTCTAGAAAAAGCGAATGTTAATATTTAGGTATATACCCTTTCAGATTTTGCTTCTATTTACATATAAATAAATGTACATAAACACACATGCGTACAAGTGCACATATATTTTCTTTTTTTTTTTTTTTTTTTTTTATATTTTTGACAGGCAGAGTGGACAGAGAGAGACAGAGAGAGAAAGGTCTTCCTTTTGCCGTTGGTTCACCCTCCAATGGCCGCCGCTGCAGCCGGCGCACCGCGCTGATCCGATGGCAGGAGCCAGGATCCAGGTGCTTTTTCCTGGTCTCCCATGGGGTGCAGGGCCCAAGCACCTGGGCCATCCTCCACTGCACTCCCTGGCCATAGCAGAGAGCTGGCCTGGAAGAGGGGCAACCGGGACAGAATCCGGCACCCCGACCGGGACTAGAACCCGGTGTGCCGGCGCCGCAAGGTGGAGGATTAGCCTATTGAGCCACGGCGCCGGCTAACATATATTTTCAAAATAGAATTATACAAAGCCTATATTAATTTGGTTTTAACTTAATATAACATGTCAGCATATAGGGAGATACATGAAATTGATACAAAGTATTACTATACCATAAGTAATTTAATAATTTCCCATTAGTAGATTTTGAGTAATTTTTCAGTGAACAGTCTCTTCATATGATTATTTTTGCTAGTATTGGATAGATTATTAGAAGTGGGATTGGGGCCGGTGCTGTGGCATAGCAGATAAAGCTGCTGCCTGCAGTGCCGGCATCCCATATGGGCGCAGTTCGAGACCTGGCTGCTCCACTTTCAATCCAGCTCTCTGCTATGGCATGGGAAGGCACTGGAGGATGGCTCAAGTCCTTGGGCCCCTGCACCCACATGGGAGACCTGGAAGAAGCTCCTGGCTTCGAGTCGGCGCAGCTCCAGCTGTTGCGGCCAATTGGGGAGTAAACCTGTGTGTGGAAGACCATTCTCTCTCTCTCTGCCTCTCCTCTCTCTGTGTAATTCTGACTTTCAAATAAATAAATTTTTTTTAAAAAAGCTGGATTCTACACATCTTAAATTTGTTAAATCCTGCCAATTGCTCTTCGAAAAGGTGGCATCTTTTTAATCTTTATGCTGTCAGAGGTCTTCTCCCATTTCAATACTATATATTTTAATACAATTTAAGACCTTTTAAAATTTCTTTTTGAAAGAGTTGCAGAGAGAGGAGGAGAGATTGAGTGAGCAAGTGAGCTTCCATCAACTGGTTTACTCCCCAAATGGCTGCAGTGGCCAGGGCTGAGCCAGGCCAAAACCAGGAACCAGGAACTTCTTCCAGGTCTCCCATGGGTATGCAGGGATTCAAGCACTTGAGCCATCTTCTGTTTTCCCAGCATTAGCAGGGAGCTGAATGGGAAGTAGAGCAACTGGGTCTCTAACTGGCACCTATATGGGATGCTGGCATTGCAGGCAGAGGCTTAACCTACTAGGCCACAATGCTGGCCCATAGATTATTTTTTTTTGACAGAGTTATAGACAGACAGAAAGGTCTTCCTTCCATTGGTTCACCCCCAGATGGCTGCCACGGCCGGAGCTGCTCCAATCCAAAGCCAGGAGCCAGATGCTTCTTCCTCGACTCCTATGTGGGTGCAGGGGACCAAGCACTGCCCATAGCTATTTTTTAATTTTCTAACAAAAATTTTTAGTTTTTGCCACCTTGTTAGGCACTTTTTATGTAGTACTGTAATTTCAGACCAGAATAGTTTTTATGATAGTATGTGACTGTCTTCAATATTTTTTCGGTCTCATTCTCTATTTAGATTAAATGATTTTTATCTCCTAAGCAAGGAATATGCTTGGAGAGAGATGATTTTTTTTTTTTTTTAACCTTTGTGTGTTTCTGCTGGCAGGAGAAACTTCGTAGTTCTGAATGTAGTCTTACAGTCAAGATGAAGACAATTGTGCGGTTACAGGAAACAGAACTGAAGAATGCTACAAAGTGGAAGGTAATAGAAGGATTTGCACATTTCTTGTTTCTGAAGCTCTTTCAATCTGGGGTTGTTCAGAGGGTTTTGAAGGGAAGAACTTGCAGAGTAATCATCAGTTGTGCACTGCTTGCAGGTAAGGTGATAGAACAGCAAGTGTCTGTCCCTGCTGGCCTGTGACTTTGGGCAGTGTGAACTCTACACACTTCATCCCCATATCTCTAATTTAATGTGTTCCCTGGGTTGGAGTTCGTTTGGGTGTTTGGTATTATGGAAAGAAACACAGGAATGAACTTTGCTTTTAGGGAAGCCAATGTGGTTGGACGGTATCATGTGCTGCATGGTCCTAAAGATTTAACAGAACCAAACAGCAGATTTTCTGAGGGCTAAACTAAATAATATATGTGAAAGTACATTTTAATTAGAAAAAGTATATCAGCAAGTCATCACTCTTACTGGTAGAGATTCAGATGTCACAAAGAATAAGTGAATACTATGATAACTACAGGGATATCAAGTGCAAATAAAAGTAATGGAAATTTGTAGGGGGTGAGCAGGAGATTTTCTGGAGCAGTTGATTAGGATTGAAAGGACTATGAGTTGTTGGGGGGTCATGTTCAAGAAATGAAGAGCAAGGGCCAGGCAAAACAAGCACTGAGCAAATCTCATGTGATCCTAGGAAAAGATAAAGAATCAGCAAATGAGAATCAGCACGGAATTTTCAAAGCTACACCACTTCCTGGCTGATGAAGAGCAACTGATTCTTCAGAGGCTGAGAGAAGAAGAAGAAGAAACACAGAAGAAAATGAATGAGAACATGTTAATGCTCAATCAAATGATCACTTCCATGAAGAAGCTCATCTTAGAAGTGGGAGAGAAAAGCCAGGCCTCCAGCCTGGAACTGCTCCAGGTGAGATGGATGTGGAAGGGGGAATCTCTATCTTTACATAGGTGTTAGTTAACATCACGAATGGAACACACTCTTGTCTGTAGAGCTGAATGTACTTCCTGGTGAATGGTTTAATAGACGACATGTCATATTTGTTAATTGTGTTCCTTCTATTATACAATTAAGAGTCAAACATTCACCATTCAGAGGAAATTAGTGTAAAATGTAGGTATGCCTGCTCAGGTAATGTGAGATTTATGAGATATTTATTTATGTGGTCTGGTAGTTTATATAGGATCTGAAGTACATCTAAGAAAAAGTCTTATTCATCTCATTTATACATTTATAATTCTTTTTTTTTAAAGATTTATTTATTTATTTGAAAATCAGAGATACACAGAGGAAAGGCAGAGAGAGAGAGAGAGAGAGGTCTTCCATCCGATGGTTCACTCCCCAGATGGCCACAATGGCTGGAGCTGCGCCGATCTGAAGCCAGGAGCCAGGAGCTTCTTCCAGGTCTCCCACATGGGTGCAGGGGCCCAAGGACTTGGGCCATCTTCTATTGCTATCCAAGGCTATAGCAGAGAGCTGGATTGGAAGTGGGGTAGCCAGGACTAGAATCGGCCCATATGGGATGCTGGCACTTCAGGCCAGGGTGTTAATCTGCTGCGCCACAGCCGGCCCCATACATTTATAATTCTTTATTAAAATAATAAAGCATTAAACCACAAACCACATAATTATATCAACAGTTAAGAGAAATTTATTTATTTTTAAAGATTTATTTATTTATTTATTTGAAAGTGAGTGAGAGAAGGAGAGGCAGAGAGGGGTCTTCAATCTACTGGGTCACTTCCCAGCTCACTGCAATGGCCAGATCTTTGCCAATCCAAAGCCAGGAGCCTCTTTCAGGTCTCCCATATGGGTGCAGAGGCCCAAGGACTTGGGCCATCTTCTACTGCTTTCCCAGGCTATAGCAGAGAGCTGGATTGGAAGTGGAGCAGCTGAGACTTGAACCGGCGTCCATATGGGATGCCGGCACTGCATGTGGCTGCTTTACCCGCTATGCCACAGTGTGGGCCCCAGAGAAATTTATATGTTTTTGCTGATTATTGATCATTACAATCACAGTTTGAGATAGCTTTGTTCTTGTCCTCAGATTTTTACTGACATATTCATTTAAGTATTTTCTAATATTCAGCAACTTTGGAAAGATAATTCTGACTCAGTACTTAAATTTGAGTCTTTAGCTCATTTGTTATCAAGACTCTTTCCTTTGAGTTTTTATTTTTTTTTTTTAATTAATTTATTTATTTGAAAGGCAGGGTTACAGAGAGAGGTATAGGCAGAGAGAGAGGTCTTCCATCCACTGGTTCACTCCCCAGATAGCTGCAATGGCTTGAGCTGGGTTGATCTGGAGTCACAAGCTTCTTCTGGGTCTCCCATGCAGATGCAGGGGCCCAAGCATTCATGCCATCTTTACTGCTTTCCCAGACCATAGCAGAAAGCTGGATAGGAAGTGGAGCAGCTGGGACTCGAACTGGTACCCATACGGGATGCCAGCATTTTAGCAGCTTTACCCCCTACACCATAGTGCTGGACCCTGAGTTTATCTATATATCCTCTGAAGGTAAAATGTCCTTATGTCTTTAAGTTTTTAGATAAGGTCCTACATTTGTGACTATTCCTACTTTTTCTTTTGGCAGAAATAATTCATATTGGGTCTTCTTTCTTTTCTTTACAGAATCCAAAAGATGTGCTGATCAGGTATATGCTCTTACTCTTTTATGGGGGCCTGAATGGAATGCTAAAGGTATTGGATGAACAGAGCAGAAACAAGGTCTGGGGTCCATAGGTCAATCTGGGTATTCCCTGAAGGGTCTGTGGAGGAGGAATTGTGTTGTTCACTTTTGCAAGGAGTAGTAGGAGCGAAAATGATCTCAGCTTTGGGTTTGGAAACTTCTGATGGGAAGTGGGGATTTTGGCTGCTCTAGTTGTCTCGTAAGAGACAAGATAGCTTTCTGTACTTTTCTTAGGTGTGAAAACCAAGGAGATGTGAACTATTCCCCTGAAGTTCTAAATGTGAAGACTGTGTGCCAGATACCAATGATGAAGGAAATGCTCAAGAGATTCCAAGGTGAGCAGAATTTCTAGGACTTAGGGTTCTCTAGAAATCTTTCAAATAATAGAATAAACAGTGAGAGAAGTATGGAAAGGAAAGAGAAAGAATAAGAAGCTAAAAGGAGTGTTAGGAGAAATGTAGTGGTTACTTAGAAATAAATGGATATACTCTTCATTAAGCAATGTTTACTTAACACATACTGTATTACAGTTACAAAAAGAAAGAGACCTATTCTCACCTTTCTAAGAGTTAATAAGCCAATAGAAGAGACATATCATTTAATGTAATGTTGTAGGAGCCACTGTTTATCAATGGTAGAACAAAATTACAGAACAGAGGGAGGGGTCTGTTGGGAGTACATTGGGCAAGTTTTCAAAGCAGAAGTGAGTGACAGTTGTGTTTCCAAATGGAAAATGGAGGTGTACTTTTCCAAGCAGAATCAGCAGCATGAGCTAAGATATGGAAGAAGGGTATCCAATGTGACAAAATGATAGGGTGCATTGTTGGGAAAGGCAGCAGCTGAGGTTGAGAAGAAGAGGGTAGGATGGAGAGAAAATAACTTCATTGGATCTCCACATGTCATACAAGTCATGCAGTTAATTATCAGTCTCTGATTAAGGAACATATAGTGGATATTCACATCCAACCATATTGGAGTAACAAGGACTGAATTTACTCAACTGTATGAAGCAACTTAAAAAAGTCAAAAGACATGAAACAACAGTTTTCATAATACTGGATGTTAGGCAGTGAAGGACAGTAATCCCTAAAAAGTGTGAAACAAATGAGGTGAGTTGCTTGAGAGAAAATTGAAGTAGAGTCATGTGGACTGGTTGGGTTGAATAATGGAGGTGAGAGTCCAAGGAGAACTGCACAGTGAGAGTTTGCAAAGTTCTGGCAGACTGCAGAAAGGAGAGCTGCATTGAGAGAGGATCCATAGAGGGATTCTCTGAATATTCATTAGAGTATTGATCAGCACATGCCTGTAAAAAACTACCTAAAAGTGAAGAAGTGCTGGTGTTCACCAGTTCCTCAGCCAGATTGGAAAACTCTGAATTCATGAGACACTGAGCAGAGTAATCAGGAAAATGTTGCCTCATTAATAGAGAATATCTAGTCCTAGAGTAAGTACTATTTCATACCAGCCATATGAATCATGAAAGTAGGACCTAAAAAGAAGTTTCCAAGTAACTGCATCCCAGCACAAAGCTCAAGAAAATTGTGAACTCAACCTTGTGAATTCATAATGTCTGATATTTGGTTAGGCATTATCAGGTAAGTAAAATAGTAGGAAAGCAATGAGAGTATTCAATTGAAATTTACTCAAATGTATGCATAGGAGGACATTAAAACATTTATTTTAATGGTTCTGTAATGAATATATAAAGACATGGAAGATATAAAAAAGATTCAGGTTAAGTTTATAGAGATTAAAAACTATAGTGACTGAGGTGAAGAATACACTGGATGAGATTAATAGTTGGTTAGACATTGTAAAAGAAAAGATTAGTGAAATTAGAGCAATGGAAACTGCAGAATGAACAGAAAAAGAATGTAAAGAAAATAAGAGCATCAGTGACCCGTGGAACAACTTCATGCAGCCTTATCTATGGTGACTAGATTCCCTGAAGGAGAGGAGTGGAAAAGGGGCTGGGACAACAGAAATATCTGGAAAAGTATTTCACATTTGATGAAAACTCTTGAGTCTACAGGGCCAAGAAACTCAACAAACCTTAAGCACAGAAATATGAGGAAAAATACACCAAAGCGCATCATAAACATTATTTGCTGAAAATCAGCAATAGAAAGAAAATCTTAAATGCAGCCACAGCAAAAATACATGTTATTCACAGTGAAAAAGATGACTTTCCATTTATGTTTGGAAAGAATGCAAGTGAACAAAATACCAGGGTGTCCAAATGTTTTATTTAAAATTCCGGCATTTCTGTGAGGATATTTTTGGACAAAGTTAACATTTAAATCAGTAGACTTGAGTACAACAGATTGCCCTCCATAAATGTAGATGGGTTTTATCCAATCAAATGAAGGTCTGACTAGAATAGACAAAAGCAAAAGGGCTTTCTCCATAGACTACTTTGGACTTGATTCACATTTGCTCTTCTTGCATAATGGCCTTCAAATGAGAACGCTGACTCTGGGTCTCAAGTATACTGTTCCACATAGTAGATTTGGTCCAGTTACCATAATCACATGAATCAGTTCCTTATAATAAATCACACACATGTATACACACATGCGTATACATACAAGTACATATATATCCTATTGATTTTGTTTGTTTTGGAGAATCTTGACTAATACAGTAACTGACCAAACAGCAGAGTCTTATGAAGTTTGTAACATATTTATCAGTAAAATGCATGATAACAACAGCTTGAAGATTTGAAGGGGAGAAATGGGAGTATATTATATTTTTACATATAAAGTGTTACAGTATTATTGAAGGTAGGCTGATAAATTAAAAGTGTGTCTAGTAAACTTTAAAACAACCATTAAAAGTTATAGCCAATAAAGTGGAATCATAAAAAATACATAGTTAATCAAAAAGAACATAGAAAAAGAGGGAAAAACAGAAAACAAATAGCAAGATAATAGAAACCTAATGTATTAATAATATTTATTTTTTAAAGATTTATTTATCTGAAATGCGTAGTTGCAGAGGCAAAGGCAGAGAGAGAGAGAAGACTTCCACCTACTGGTTTACTCTCCAGTTGGCCGCAATGGCTGGAGCTAGGCCAATCCAGAGCCAGGAGCTTCTTCTGGGTCTCCCATGCAAGTGCAGGGGCCCAAGGACTTGAGCCATCTTCCACTGCTTTCCCAGGCCATTGCAGACAGCTGGATTGGAAGTGGTCCTGGGACCAGAACCAGCACCCATGTGGCATGTTGGCACTACAGGCCGTGGCCCCCAAAGATTTATTTTTTTGAAAGAGTTATAGAGAGGGAGAGAGAAAGACCTTCTACCTGCTGGTTCATTCCCCAGAGGGCCACAACAGCCAGGGTTGGGCCAGGGTGAAGCCAAACTTGGAGCCTGGAACTCCATCATGGTCTTCCACATGGGTGGCAGGGTCCCAAACATTTGTGCCATCATCTGCTGCTTTCCTGGGAGTATTAGGAAGTTGGATTGGAAGTGGAGTATCTGGGATTCAGACTGGCGCTCCTATGTGGGATGCCAGCATCAAATGTGGTGGCTTAACTTGCTGTACCACAATGCTGGCCCCAATAACCACATAAAATATAAATGATCTGATTAACCTAATCAAAAGGCAGAGGTTGGCTAGATTGGGTAAAAATAAAAGTAAGATCCAACTATATGCTGCAAGAAACAAGTTAACTCTAAAGATCCATTTATTTTTAAAAGAATGGGCAGATAGGTCCTTTTTTTTTTTTTTTTTTTTTTTTTTTTTTTTTTTTGACAGGCAGAGTGGACAGTGAGAGAGAGAGACAGAGAGAAAGGTCTTCCTTTTGCCGTTGGTTCACCCTCCAATGGCTGTGGCGGCCTGTCAAAAAATAAAAAATAAAAATAAAAAAAGAAAAAAAGAATACTAGTCAAAAGAAATCTGGTGGGGCCGGTGCTGTGGCACAGCGGGTTAACACCCTGGTCTGAAGTGCCAGCATCCCATAAGGGTGCCAGTTCTAGTCCTGGCTGCTCCACTTCTGATCCAGCTCTCTGCTATGGCCTGGGAAAGCAGGAGAAGATGGCCCAAGTCCTTGGGCCCCTGTACTCATGTGGGAGACTCAGAGAAAGCTCCTGGCTCCTGTCTTCGGATCAGCACAGCTCTGCCCGTTGCAGCCATTTGGGGAGTGAATCAGTGGATGGAAGACCTCTCTCTTTGTCTCGCCCTCTCTGTAACTCGGTCTTTCGAATAAATAAAAATCTTTAAAAAAAAATCTGGTGCAGCTAAGTTATTAACAGTAGGTTTTAGAGCAAAGAATAAAACCAGAGGTAAAGGAGGTTATCTCCCAATGATGAAGTGATCAATTTATCAAGAGTACATAATGCCTTTAGACATTTGTGTACCTAACAATGGTTTCAAAATACATTAGTTAAAAATTGATAGAAATGCAAGATGTAGGTAACTACAGTTATAGTTGGAGTTTTTCAATAATTTTTAAGAACAAATTAGAAAGGAGATATTAGACTTGAATAATGTCATTCAGCTTGACCTCATTTATAGAACCTTCCAACAAGAGCAGAATGCACATTATTTTTAAGTGTATGTGGAACGTTTTCTAAGATCAAGGTGGGCCATGGAACAAGTCTCAATAACTTAAAAAAGATTCAAGTCATACAAAGTATATTCTCTGACTAAAATGGAATTTTTAGAAATCAGTAGTGAAAAATATTCTAGGAAAATCCCCAAAAGTTAGGAAACTAAATAACACACTTCACAATAAACCATGAATTAAAGAAGTCAAAAGAGAAATTAGAAAGCACTTTGAACTGGATGAAAAGGAAAACACAGCTTACCAGAATCTGTGGGATACAGCTAAAACAGTGCTTAATAGAAACTGGTAGCACTACAACGTATTTCAGAAGACAGTTCTCAAGTTAATGACTTTAGCTTCCACTTTAATATACTGGAAAAAGAACAAATAAGGCCAAATTGAACAGAAGAGAGTGGGAATAGAAGTTAGCAGAAATTGTTACAGTAGAACGGAGGAAAACAACAGGAAAAAATTGATGAAAAACTGGTGCTTTGAGACTGTTAATAAAATTGCTAAACCTTTCACCCAAATGAACAGAAAAAAGGACATACATTACTAACATCAGAAATGAGAGAGGTGACATCATTAAAGTCTTCAGATATTGAAAAGAGAATATGTGCAACTTTACACAGATAAATTCAACAACAGATGAAATGGACAAAGTCCAGTGTTAATATTTTATAAAATATTTTTGTTAAAAAACTTTTATCAATGCTTACAAAAAATACAAATTACCAAAACTGGCTCATGAAAAAATAGATAACTGAAACAGTTTTATATCTCTTAAA